CAGGTTAGAAGAGATTAAAACCCAAGTTTCCAAAAAATACATGCCACCCATAATTTGGGTGTGTAATTCACAGGAGTAGCTGGGTATGGAGATAAAGAGATATAGGGGGCTTGCTGCACTCATTTTTAAAATATTTATTCCAAGGCTCTCATGAAAAAAGTTATTTTCTGTTCCAGAGTGGGGAAAAGAAAAAGTAAAAGAAAAACAAAACAAAAGAACCTGGGGCACTGTTCATTGTTTTGCAATCAATACTCAGTGGCATAAAGCGGGGGGGGGGGGGGAAGGGGAGAAAATTTGAGGGGAAAACAAAGTTGAATTTTTAAAATAATAATGTTTGAAAAATATTAATTGCTCCAGTTCAAACTCTGAAACTCCTCCCCCTGCCTCCCACAACCTGGAGTTGTAGGTACTCTTTTAGGTATCATGATGAGCCCCAACCACAGAGAGCAAGATTTTGAACTTGATTTGATATCCTATTGGAAGCCAGTATAGAGGACAGGTTTGATGTGCTCACAGTAGCCTGTGTTGCTGAGGAGACATGCTGCAGCGCAGTGTAGTAGTTTCCTAAGTACTGGAGGCTTCATGCCTAGATATATCACACTGGTATAATCCAGCTAAGAGGGGACTAAGTTGTGAATAGGGGAAGCCAGATCATCATCTGCCAACATAGCTAAGCAGAGATGGTAGAAGTTACTTGCAGTTGCTATATGAGACCTTAGCATCCAGGCACCAGTGAGGAACCTAGATTTGGACTGAATTGACCAATTGTGGGTGTGTTCTTCCAACCAATGGAGACTGCATTGTAGCTGCAAATTCTTTCCTCTGCCCACCAGCATCACCTCTGCCTTGCTCAGGTTCTGCTTCAGCCAGGTGTTCATCCATGGGCTGATCTCATCCAAGCACTGGGCCATCTAGGAGTGGTAATAATAATAAATAATATTCTTATATAGCAGTTTTCTTCAGTAAATCTCAAAAGCACTTTACAAAGGAGGCAGTATGATTATTCCTATTTTCCAGATAAGGAACCTGAAGCACAGAGAGGGGAAGTGACTTGTGCAAAGTCACTAAGCACGCCTGCGGCAGAATCAAGAATAAAATCCAGGCATCCTGAATCCCAGCCCAGTGCTCAGTCCACAAGGCCACACTGCCTAGTGGTAGTAGTGTGGTTGTATGTCGTGAAGGATCGGTAGAGCTGTGTGTTACCTGCATATTGCTGGCACTTGAGTCTGGGTTGTCTGCCCAGGTCACCTAGTGGCTGTATGTGGACATTTAAAAAGAACCAGAGAGAACTGATCCTTGAGACTCCACAAGTGAGGGGCCTACTGGTGGAAGTGCACTTTCTCATTGCTACTTATTGGATTCATCTGTCCAAGAAAGACTCGGACCATTTTAGCACATTACTCTTCTACAACAGGCTATCTGCTCCCTGTAAGGCTCTCTAACTGAGCTGCTCGTTGGCCTTTTATCCATGGACCAGGTGAACTACAGCTATCACCTGATCCTTGGCCTCAAACCCCTCACCTGAGAGAGTGTCACAAGTGGGGTTACCCTCAACTCCCTTATAGGGCCATCCCACCATGTGACATAGGTGAACATATGAAGATCAGGAGAGATAAAGATGATGCATATATTAAAAATATATATCTGGGTATGACTGGATGCTAACCCTGTCAAAGAGGATACATACAGCAGCAAGGAGTGGAATCTACAGAGTATATTCCCCTCCCCCCCCCCCCCCGATTCCCAGCCAGGACTTTGGAATAAAGTAAGAGCTGCTCCAGACAAGCCACACAGGCTTGATACCAAATCCAATGCATACTGGGACAGGATTTTGGGAGTTTAGGGTCTGATCCTGTCCCCGCTGAAGTCAATGTGGAAGCTCCATTGATTTCAGTGGTGCAGGACCAGACCTTTAGTCCATAATCTGTGCCTACCCACGCAAGGCAGACAATCAGTTAAATACTTTATGGTGGAATCTCAGTGCTTTGATACAATGAACTGAAATAAACTGGGGCACAAGGGCACTGGGCACGCTATACTTACAAAAGAGAGATATAAATAATGTATGATCGTGTTCTCTGATACTTTCAGGGAAGCTGATCATGTTAGAAGCAACAAACTCACTAACATTAAAGAAAGAAGACAGGGAGTCTTGTAACGGTTTGCATAAGTAGGAAGGATTAATCATGCTGACAAAAACAGAATTTACCAGAAACCAGACTTATGACGTTTGAATAACTATAGTCCTTCTATGCGTTTTTCAGCATCAATTTTGAAAGCTTTTTATTCACAATGAAACCAAGCACCTCCCACTCCTTACCTGTATTAAGCAAAATGAGCAATGTACTCATTGTCACAACCCCCCCAGTAATTCCAAGTAATTTCAGGGCCATAATCTTTACTAGAAAGTTTTTCAGTATATTCAAAAGTGACAGTCTGGGGGGCATACATCTCATTGTGGATGCCATTTTCATTGGGGGGGGGGAGGGGAAGATGGCAAGCCCACGCACCTTGAGATGAGAATATCTCATGTCTTCCCCAGAGGCAAACAAGATAATATGTAACCATTATATAGCTGTTCAAGATGTTATACAAATAATCAAAAGCCACGAGATGGGTAGATATTTAGGTTTTACAGATGGAGATTGTGTTTTTGCCCAGAGCTACACAGCAAGCCTGTAGCAGAGCTGGGACTAGTCTTTTGGAGTTCTGGATTCTAGTGTTCATTGAATTAGACTTGCCATCTCTTAATTAACCAAAACGTCTGTACTGCCTGGCGGTAGTGTAAAACACAGAACAAGCACAAACATGGGGGGAACCCCAGTTACTTTGACAGGGATTTTATTTGATTGTATCCACTTCTAATATTAAAAAACTATTGCTAGCTAACTTGATTTTTTGAGAGAGAGATTTGTGGCCCAAGATTAATTGTGACTAAAGTTCCCATCTGATACTTCCCATCAGTAGTTTTAACATTAGAAACATGCTCAGACTGGAGAGAGCGCTAGAGCTAGCAGCAACAGTTTTCTGTGGCACTAAGTGGCTGCCACATAAAATAATCTTGTGTTTTACGTGCCTACGCTTTGACATCAGCCCAGCATGATAGAGATGCAAAACCTCAGAGAAATCTATGCCACCTGTGTACATCAGACGAGCCAGACATTTCACAGAAGCCTGTGCCTTGACATCAGAGCAGAAGATAAAGGTTGTGAGGTCTGTGCTTCAGCATCAGCCCAACATGACTGATCATGGAACTTCAAAGAAACCTGCTCCTTGATGTTATCTCTGCAAGTTAACCCTGTACTTATATTTTGCCAGTAACCTCCCAGGAGCCTGTGCTTTGGCCTCTGCCCAGCAAACTAGAGATGGGCAGAGGCTCCGGTAAGTGAGAGTGTAACTCTCCATCCTCTGCTGAAGACAGAAGAGTTCCCCCCTCTCCCTTTCCTGAGTAAGCTCAACCATCCTCCTCCTGTATTTTCAGTGGCTGATGAATGACGACTCATCAGGCAGGAGAATATGAAGTGGAAGCAGGAGAAAGGAGTCTGGCTGAGGCCTTTAAAAGGCTCCACCTATTGACGGGAAGGCTTGGAGCAGCAGTTGTCCAAAGCAGTCCATCACTCTCCTTTTTTCTATGGACAGATCTGTTCCCTTGTTGCTTTCCCCTCCCCTCCAGGGGGAAAAGAGGGGCTCCGCCTCCAATTCTCTCCCCACTTCAGGGAGACCCATCACTGACTTCCTCTCCCCCACCCAGAATCCCGGGGAAACAGAACCACCTGTCAGTCCTGTTCCCCTCCTGGAACTCCACAGAGGAGTGTGGGATGGGAGCTGAAAGGATATTCCACAATCACATACACAACACAGAGTGCTTGGGAACATGTACTCCTTTCACATACATTAATGCCTTCATTCCATTCTACTCCCTGTACCATGGCCTATCACACACTAGGACATAGGTGATACTTCACCACATGGGGTTAACATCCATGACTACATATAGCCAGTGCTGGTGAGCTCCCCTTCTACTCTTATCTGCTTCAACCACTGGGTTGCAAGTCGACTGCTGCAGAAAAGCGGCTCTGTGTATATGTAGTTAGGGCATTTGCTCTATATTATGAGGGAAGACTATCAAGACAACAAGGATCATATGACGATTTTCGGGAAAAAACGTTAATGTGCAGAATTAAGCTGCAGCTCTTAAGAGCGTCACAACCTCTTACCCTTTACAAACACGACTCTACACATGGAAAAGGTTTGCAGAGCTGCACATCAGAAACTCAGTCAAAATTTAACCAATACTGAGCCCCATCTCTGGCACTGCATTTAAGAGTTCTTAGGGTAATTTCAGGCACCCAATTCTGGCTTCACAACATAGTGGGTTTCTTTCTTACCTGAAGGAACAGTCTTCTGAACAGCGTTATTTGAAAGATTTGATTGTGATTAAAGATTCAGGTGCTAAGAGTCAATCTGAGATCTTATTCCCCCATCAATTACTGGAAACAGTATTCACCAACCAGGTTAGACTGCAAATGTGGGCTAAAAGCATGTAAGAGAAAGTCCATCTGTTGCAACATAGGAGCGGTACTGTATTTTGTACGTTGACTGTGGTTTGCACAGACTACATAGCACTCTAGTGCCCCATCAAGGTTCTGAAGAGTAAGGACACAATTCCACATAATGAATTACACAGCCCAGCCATAAAACATTGAGTTACATGATTTACATCATGTGACACATGCTGCAGCATTTTATGACATGTGTCCTGAATATCAATGAAGGCATGACATGCTAGTAATATCAACTAGGCTGTGCCATGGCATAAACTACATCTCAGCTCCCTTCACTGATGTGTATGACAGAGTACAAAATATTCCAGCTTTATCACTTTTCACAGTCATTTCTACACATTGTATTAAAAGAACAGATGAAAAAGTCACCCCTATTTCGCTCTTCCCAGAAGTTTTAGAAGGTGACAATTATCACATTCGTATCAGTTTAGAGGAGCTGTTTATCTTTTGAAAATTCAGAGTGCTAGTCTAGGGAAAAACAAAATTAAAAAAGGGGGAAAAGCCTCATTTAGAAAAATCTATACAATTTTATTTTTCTAAATAAATGTGTAGGCAGATTGCTACAAAAACACAGAATTTCAAGTACAGTACATAATGAGTATTGTTGCCTCCAATAATTTACAGCACATATACACAGTCTTCCGTCGAATTCCTACATGGGTCCAACATGTACCTATCATGTTACAGATGCATTTCTTACAATGGTAATGGATAAGAATGCATTCTCATGATCTTCTAATGGGGTAATACTATTATTAATCAAAGCATGTTGCATTAATATAGTTTATAAAGGATTATGACCATTGTAACAGCCAGTGGCACAGTTTTTGAAATGGTTTTATTTTAAATTAGTCATCCTCATTGTCTGTCATACTGAGGAAAACTACTTCAATCTGTGGCCATGTGCTTAATACTTTTTCCTTGTATAAGAGCAGTCCAATATTAAACTCTAACATGTGTGCACTAGCATCTACTACTCACCGCTGCTGTGTGAAAAAAAAAAAATCTTTCCTGATGGGATATTTCATCATTTGGTAATTTGAAAGATACCCAACAGACATTAAGAAAGGAACCCCAACCAAACTCCTCACCCACAAAGATTGCAGCCACACAAGACAATACCCAGATGTGATACATTTAGTCCACCAAAACCCTGTGGCTACCTTTCCCAAATGATCAGAACAGTCCTGTTTTGGAGTGTTTGGAATACTGTATAAACAAACAAACAAACCAACCCAAGCAATTTTTCTAACAGTAAAATAAAGGATCTGAAATGAAACAATTTACAAATCAGATACCTAGTCAAAAGATCTCCCCCGCCTCCGGAAGCAAGAAAGTTGAATTACATCAGTATAGGCAAACATCTTTTACATATTCTAATCTTAAAAAAAGTTAAATGGCAGATATTTCTTCTATATCCCCACACCAGCAGTTCACTAAGCTTGAACAAAGCCCATAACATCAGTAAGAGACTTTCCACTGTCTTTATGGTCCTTATCTAATGCCCACTCAAGATTCAGACCCTGATTCTGCAAACACTTATGTACGCACTTGACCTCATAAATGCAAATAGTTCCATGAAGGGCCATGCAACTACTTATATGCGTAACATTATGTACATAAGTGTTCTCAGAATTGAGGCCTTTGACAAATTCTGTATACGTACAACTTAAAAACAACAACTATTGTTCTAGTTTGAGTTCAGTTTATTTCAATGTTGGTATTTCTTAGATGGGGCTCTGTAATTACCGCCCCCCTACACACACATATTTTGACAAATTATTTGCTCTGCCATTCTCTTTTTGGTCACCTTTGTTAAGGTCTCCTTCCTTAACTCCTCCATAAAAATGTAAAACTGTTAAAGACAGTTGCATTCAGCAACCACCACATTAGTCTGGGGGAAAAGAAGGAGAAGAGGCCCAACCATGTTGTATGTTCAATGCTAAACCACATCTCTGTTGTACTGGTTTTGACGTCACATTTTCGTAAAAGCTGCAGATATTTTATCATTTGATTGTCTTGCTAAGGTTGGAAAATCCAATGCCAACACACGTCATTAAGACTTTCTCTCCACCCTGGAGCTCTTCATGAGATGGCTTGGTTTCAATTTTGAACATAATCTGGAAGAAGCTTCTCAAATGTCGTAGAAACTCAATTCTGAAAGGGAGAGAGGACAAGTGAGTTTTCTTTTTCTTAAAAAAAAAGAGAGAGAGAAAGTGTTAAACTATCTTCAACAAATCAGTTACTCATTTAGTTAACACAGAGGTCTTGTCCTGTAAGTAGACCACAGACTAACGTTCAATGAGATTTGTAGTTGAAGCTGTGTTTGTCCCAGGATTTTAGAGAGACAAGGTGGGTGAGGTAATATCTTTTACTGGAGCAACTTCTGTTGGTGAGAGAGACACGCTTTCGAGCTCTATGTGGCTTGAAAGCTACTCTCGCTCACATTCTGGCTACTTGGTACAGAGGTAGGAAAATGAGTGTATGGGTTTGAAAAAAAATCTTATTTGTATTATAGCAATACTAAGATGAAGGCTCCAACTGAGCCTGGCGCTGCAAAAAAAGACAAAAAGACAGTCTTTGTCCTGAAGAGTTGTTAATCTAAATAGACCACACGAAGAGTGGGAGGGGAAACTGAGACACAGAGGTAGCATAACCTGACTGTGGTCACACAGCAGGTCAGTGGCAGAATCAGAATAGAATCCAGTTCCCATGTCTCCCAATCCAGTTCCCTATCCATTCTGCCCCCCCAAAATGTTCAGTGCTAAACTTTACTGGGATTTCTGAAAAATACTTTTGACAGTAGCTAAGGAAATTCAAAATGTTTTGTGTGTGGGGGGGAATACAGTAAGCAGATTCAAAAGCACATATCTGATCAGTTTTACAAGCTCCCCTCTGCTAAAATACATGTATCTTTGGAATCTAACAGTATCGCTTTAAAAAAAAAAAAAGAGAGAGAATTCAGATTCTGGACTTCTTTTGGAAAAGTGTTTACACCTGAAAATGTATTTTTTCAAGATTACAGGTCTGAAGAGACTTCTCTATGGAAGAGAGACAAAACAGATTAAACAAAGCAGCTCTGAAGAGGAGACAAACTGGAGTGGATATGACAGAAAAAATAATGAATGGTATAAAGAAGGTAAATGGGATGCGCCTTGGGGACAGTCAATGAAACTGAAAGGCAACAAAATGGAAAATTGATAATTGCTCACTATGTGATGCTTGCCCTCTCTTCTGAAGCTGGTACCAATCACTGTTAGAGAGCCACGATACCAAAGTGGATGAACTGCTGGTTTAATCCACTGGGACAATTGCTAGGTTCCCAAGATTCTCTTCCCAGATAAGTTTAGCCTTTGGAAAGAGGGGACATGCACACCACTCCTGAGCCTTCTTTTGGCAGGTAGCCTGTCCTAAGAACTTTAATACTATATTGATCACAGTTTTGAGATCAAATTCCTTTTCAGTTCTGTGCCCCCGATGCTATTTTAAGAAATAGTTCCTGACACAGAGGAAGCAGGAGGCAAGAGAGAGACAAAAATCACTGCTGAAGCACTACAAGACCTAAGGAAGTCCCAAGGCACTCCCCCAATAGTGGGATGGTCCAGAAATGGTGGCAGCACCAGGAGCACACTGTGGGGGAAATGGAGGAGACAGAGCAGAGCAGACCATTCTTCCATACAGAAACCTCTAAGAGCAGTGAAAGCAAAACAGAATTTGGCAGGAAATGGCAGAGAACTGTGGTCTTCCTTTGGGACAGTGTTTAATAATCCTCCGCTGTCTTGTCACATAAGTACGAGGGGTGGAAATCAGGGAAAAGAGGGAGGTTGGAGAGGCTGCAGTTCCTAATGTATGGAAGCCACCTCCAGGTGCAGCCTCGTCAGTCTGCAGGGGGGAGCAGAGTGCAGCATGGTATGCAGCATTCCACTTCTCCCTGAACTTCAAACAAAAACCACTGCCTTGAGCAAAACAAAAAGTGTTTACAGAAGCAGCATCTTTTTCCAGAAGGCTGCAAAGTGAAATGAAGTGAGATACATCAATTGCACATGGACTTAAAAGTTTTTTACGGGCAAAGCAGCTTCTTCTGTAGTTCACTAAATTATCGTCACCACAAAAGTCATTTCACTGACATTCATTTACACTTCAAGCAGAAAAGTTAGGTCTACTTTACACTTAAAAGTTAGCTCGACCTTGTAGGTTGCTCCAAGCTGTGAAAAATTCCATGCCCTGAGCACAGTAGCAAAGTTGACCTAACCCTTGGTGTAGACTCAGCTACATCTATGGAAGAATTCTTCCATCAACCTAGCTACCACCTCTTGGGGAGATGGATTAACTACATCGGCGGAAAAACCCCTTCCATCAACTGTAGCAGCTGTAGTGTAGACATACCCTTAGACTCCAAGTGACGTGCTGTCCCAAAGCTAGCTAAAGTGGCCTAACCAATTAGAAGTGTTGGTATATTGCACAAACACAGCTTCTATCTAATGGTTGCCTTCATAAGAAGGCAGATCTATTACAGAATTTGCTCCAGGTTTACTTACTCTCCAACCACACAACTATGATGACAAGAGTCTGTTCAACATTTAAATGTCTAGATATACACATTTCCCAGACATCAGCCAGCCAATTACAGTTTATGATCTCTTGTGCATATTATAGAGCCATTAGACAAACACACCCTCCTATTTTTTGAGGCTGTTCTGGTTAAAACATGATGCCAAATCCCAAACAATGAGATGATCTCAGGAAGTGTTTGACAGTAAAGCTGGGTGACATTTTATAGCCAAAGCTTTTTTCCGCACCAAAAAATGCAGATTAGGGTTGACTGAAACATTTTGTGAATTTGTGTTGATTTTGTCAAATTGTTTCAGCTGATAAACTAGGCAAATACAACTTAGATGGGGCTACTATAAGGTGGGTGCATAACTGGCTGGATAACCGTACTCAGAGAGTAGTTATTAATGGTTCCCAATCCTGCTGGAAAGGTATAACAAGTGGGGTTCCGCAGGGGTCTGTTTTGGGACCGGCTCTGTTCAATATCTTCATCAACGACTTAGATATTGGCATAGAAAGTACGCTTATTAAGTTTGCGGATGATACCAAACTGGGAGGGATTGCAACTGCTTTGGAGGATAGGGTCATAATTCAAAATGATCTGGACAAATTGGAGAAATGATCTGAGGTAAACAGGATGAAGTTTAACAAAGACAAATGCAAAGTGCTCCACTTAGGAAGGAACAATCAGTTTCACGCATACAGAATGGGAAGAGACTGTCTAGGAAGGAGTACGGCAGAAAGGGATCTAGGGATTATAGTGGACCACAAGCTAAATATGAGTCAACAGTGTGATGCTGTTGCAAAAAAAGCAAACATGATTCTGGGATGCATTAACAGGTGTGTTGTGAGCAAGACACAAGAAGTCATTCTTCCGCTCTACTCTGCGCTGGTTAGGCCTCAACTGGAGTATTGTGTCCAGTTCTGGGCACCGCATTTCAAGAAAGATGTGGAGAAATTGGAGAGGGTCCAGAGAAGAGCAACAAGAATGATTAAAGGTCTTGAGAACATGACCTATGAAGGAAGGTTGAAAGAACTGGGTTTGTTTAGTTTGGAAAAGAGAAGACTGAGAGGGGAGATGATAGCAGTTTTCAGGTATCTAAAAGAGTGTCATAAGGAGGAGGGAGAAAACTTGTTCACCTTAGCCTCTAAGGATAGAACAATAAGCAATGGGCTTAAACTGCAGCAAGGGAGGTTTAGGTTGGATATTAGGAAAAAGTTCCTAACTGTCAGGGTGGTTAAACACTGGAATAAATTGCCTAGGGAGGTTGTGGAATCTCCATCTCTGGAGATATTTAAGAGTAGGTTAGATAAATGTCTGTCAGGGATGGTCTAGACAGTATTTGGTCCTGCCATGAGGGCAGGGGACTGGACTCGATGACCTCTCGAGGTCCTTCCGGTCCTAGAATCTATGAATCTATGACATTTTGATTAAAAAACTAGAATATAAAATTAACAAGGCATGCATTAAATGGATTAAAAACTGGCTAACTGATAGGTTTCACAATGTAACTGTGTACAGGGAATTGTCCTCGATAGACTCTGTTTCCAGTGGGGATGAGTTTTGGACCCAGGCTATTTAATGTTTTTATCAACGACTAGGATGAAAACAAAATCTACACTGAAAGTTTGAAGATGACAAATATTGGGGGAGTGGTAAATAATGACGAGGACAGGTTACTGATTCAGAGAGATCTGAATTGCTTGGTAAACTGGGCATAAGCAAACAATATGCGTTTTCATATGGCTATGTGTAGAGGTATACATCTGGGAACAAAGGATATAGGCCATATTTACAGGATGGGGGGGAGGGATAGCTCAGTGGTTTGAGCATTGGCTTGCTAAACCCAGGGTTGTGAGTTTAATCCTTGAGAGGGCCATTTAGGGATATGGGGCAAAAATCTGTTGGATGATTTAATTGGGGATTGGTCCTGCTTTGAGCAGGGGGTTGGACTAGATGATCTCCTGAGGTCCCTTCCAACCTTGATATTCTATGAAATCTATCCTGGGGAGGAATGACTCTGAAAAAGATTGGGGGTCGTGGTGGATAATCAGCTGAACATGAGCTTTCAGTGTGATGCTGTGGCCAAAAGAGCTAATGAGATCCTGGGATGCACAAATGGGGGAATCTCAAGTAGGAAGAGAGAGGTTATTTTACCTCTGTACCGAGCTTTGGTGGGACCGCTGATTTAATTCTGTGCCAGAGATGGCATGCCTGGCATGTGAGCACCCCTCCCCCCAATTAACCTGGTCGAGTCCTCCTTCACACAGGGTCGGGGGAAGGGACCTATTCCAAGTATTGTTCCCACTCCCAACACCATAATCCACCAGCTGCACTGCACTAGACAAGGGAAATCAATGCTGTATATATCATTTATAAAGTAAGTAGTTTGGGATTTTTCAGTGTGAAGGTGCTAAATGCAAGATGCTACTAACATAGCAGCAATCAGAGGGGAGGGCGGAAGGTGTGGGTTGGGGAAATGGAGTGGAACTCAATAGCATTTTGCTTCTCATTGTTATTTTTTAAAATGTGTCATTCATCTATGCTCAGTAGCTGTGGAGACTGATTTCTCAACCCTTAGATATTAGCAGCACAGAAGTTGCAGACAGGAAAAAAAACAAAAAAAAAAACACTTACATGATCTCACATGAAACACGCTGATCTCAATAGTAACCCTCCTCCACTGCCAAACCTCTCCACCCCGCACTAGCGTTACAAGAATGTCAACAACTAAAGCAGCTGAAATCAGTCCACTTAAAAATTAATGCTTTACAAACTTTGTGGTTTGAAACTGTAAGACATCAGATTATTACACTCTTAACTGTGTAGTCTAATCATTGATGTTGGATGATATTACTGAACACTAAGTAGATACTCACCTTGTGATGGTCTACTTCACCCCTTCCATAAAGATAATCCTCCATTGCTCCCCTCAAAATCCATACAAACCCCCTTCCACACAACTCTGGTGGATCTGTTGGTTTCTGAGGTATCAGGGTTTGGTAGCAGTTATGCAGTTTGTAGCTTTCATGTGATGGCACCATCATTCTTCAGTTATCACAGTACTGTACCTTTCACGTATACAGCACCGGTACCATGATAACCGAAAAAGGACAGTTCATGTTCTAATTGTTTGATATCATCCCCACACATGCACATCTCTCCCCTTTCCCTTAAAGGGGTACTGTTTGATCAATTCAATCTCTGGTAACTGCTTTGGTCTAGTCAATTGTTCATCAGCCAGCTATGGTAACAGGAAAGCAGTGTGCCTTTTGCCTTTCTGTGTCCCAACCAACAATGGGGGAAACACAGCACTTCTCTCTCTTCAGACTGGTAACTGCCACAGACCTTGAAAAACTGTCAGAAAAAAGGCCAAAACAAAAATAAAATGCAATCCATAACAGTTCTAAGACTCCAGGGTCCCAAGTATCTCAACGAGATACACCCTTGAGGTGTTTCTCTTTGACACTCATGCCATGAGCTGGATATGATCTTGGTGTTAGTCAGCCATTCAGAATACATTCCATTATGTGCACAACTACAACAGAGGTCATTAGGCAAAATAAGAGAGCTTATGCTAGGCAACAAAAATGTAACTGATGTGTAAACAATCCAAGACCAAGAACCAACAACAAACTGGTCTCTGACAGTTTAATTGCCTTGGAATCAGAGGGAAAATAGGAAAGTAAGGAAGTGTTCTTCCAGTGTGTAAAAATAAACACTAGGTAACTTATGTACTGATCGTTAAATGATCAGTACAAGTACGTCTGTTCATAGCCACAAACGAAATGTTCTGCACAAAAATACATGTTATTCTATTAATTGCAAATTAAACAAGATGTGATATTGAAGTTAAAGAGAACAACTTACGTGTACGGAGACAGAGGTCCTAGTAGGACTTTGGAAACATCCTGCTGTCCAAGGGTCATGAGGAGCAGAACTAGACTCTGGTTTGTTGAATCCACACAGCCTCCCTGTAAACACAAACATTTTAATTATTAATCTTTATACAAACCAGAATATAGGAAAAAACGATGGAGGAACGTTTACTTAAAACACAGATCTATCACAGCTCTCACATTTCAAGGGTCAAAAGATAAAATCCAGATTTTGTAATAGTAACTAACTTCACAGGGCATATTTGGAAAGGGACTTGAGTTAAAAACCATAGTAAGGAAATTATTTTTCTAACACTATTGATTATGAAAACCCAGGGAATCTCTAAAATTTAACAAACAATGTAAATAGAGGAAAAATATATTTATTTTCCATTTCACTTATTTTAGGCAACTGAAAATAGATCAGTCTCTTTCAGGTTCATGTGCACTAATAGATTACTGAAATGCTTGGGTTATGGCTCTTTAGGTAAATGTTTAAAATGGGACACAACCTGAAAGCTATTCAACTTCAAAAAAGTTAGTTAAAAGTAGTTTCAGGTATTGCATCTGCCCAACCCCCGGCTGCCAATTATTGTAGTTGTGCAGACACATTTTCCTGTTTTCAAAGAACGTTTCCCTCTCCTGGTGTTGCTATGTGAAAAATCCACACAACTACAAGTAACACAGGCTACGTGGAACTACACAAAGCGCTATCAAATGCACAAAACAAAAACCCTGTGGGAAAATAATATTTTTCTCCCAGGCGCGGCCTCTCAAATTACACCCTGGCAGCTTTACTTAGGGTAGAGATAGGGGAGTGCGCTGTTTTGAGTAAAGCTCAATGCCTTTATATTGAATTATTGGCTGAGTATTCAGCATATGAATCTACAGCATCGTCCAAGGTTATGTCTGGGGGAACAGCTGAGCAGTACACAACCCCTAGAGTTCCTCTGGCTTTTGAAAGTCCGTTGTTCTCTCCATTCGTTGTGCTTGTTGCAACTTGACCTGGCTAGGGATGTAGGCAAGAGTGTGGAATCTCCCATTAAATTTAGAGCAGAAGATATTTGCAAACAACTGGACATGGCAGTTGCCCCCTTGGCTTTCTTCTTCAAAGAGCAGACATAGTTTGGAGAAATACTTTTGTTCAAATATGTCAAGGAGGGCATTTATGACTCTGTTTTCAAACTATGAAGATAGCCTGTTTGGGAGAGAGGAGTTTCACCCATGCAGGTTTAGCTAAATTGAAGATCTACCACACTACTTACTTTCTGGTAACTTGTTCAGTTACCTGAGAAATAAAGGTCTAGCCACATTTCTGGCTCAGATGCCTTTTACTACACTGGCTCAAAAGCAAGAATACTTGCTATGTAGTGAAAATGTTTCTATTAAAGGGCGTTTGACCTATTTGCCTGATAGACTGCTAAAACAAGTATATAAAAGAGAGACTCCTTATGACCTAAATGAAATAATGCATTTCTAACCCTTGTTAGTTTATTTTTCTATATTGTTGCAGGGATTGTGACTTTAAAGTTATAACTGATTCTGGGGCAAGGTTGAACTTCTGTTTTTTGTTTTTGTATTTTTTAAAGAACGGGTATTAATTTTATTGAGTTGTGTTGATTTTAAAACTCGTATTGATCTTATATGTATTGTACTGTGTGCTCTGTTCTAAGGCTAAGATGCTATATTAATATAATTGAACTTTATATTTGTCTCCCGTATCTTTCAGTTACTATAAACAAAAGTAAAAACATTTCAGACAGCAGTGTCATTTTGACATTGACACTGCCATTTTAACATCCAAACAAAAAATTGATTGGACATTTTGAGATAGTCTTTAAAGACTTGGGCTTACAAAATGTGTTTTGTTTATTATTAATAAAAATAATAATTAAATAACCTAAATTTTGTTCCCAAACTAGTTAACAGTATCCCTTTAATCAAGACAGTCTAGATGGCTTGGAAACAATTGCAGCCTTTAAACTTTACTTAGGAAAAACTCTTTCTTTTGATAATTAGAAAATAGGGAGCATGGTTCTGGATACACACCAAACCCGATTACACAGTAAAACTCCATTTATCCCAATGTCACATTTCCTCCTAGCACGAGCAGTTTATCCAGAAATTGCAAACTGACTGTTCAATCCTTACTTTTAGATGGCCCTGAAATGTTTCTGACAAACAGGGTTGAACTATAATGAATACATAGCAACAAGCCATTCCTGCAACTGCTTGCAGCTTTCTGCATTTGAGCAAGGGGATACATTTTATCTTGCTTAGTTGGAAGAGAGACTAGCTTTTTTATTACCAAATAAAGCTACTCAAACACATGCAAGAGAAAAATCTGGCATAAAATTAAATTTGGACTCTCTCATAGACAGCTTGATCGAAAACTCACATCAATCAGTGGATGGACTCCTACTGACTTCAGTGGGTTTTGGATCAGATCCTTAATAGGCTCTCCAAAAAAAATTTTGAGCCAACCAAATTAACCATATCAAAAACTTGTACATGTAATCACACACTAGAGCTATTACTGTTCAGTCACACGGCAAGCAACATTTGCTCATTTTATTTTATTTTTCTAAGAAAGTGTTTTACCACCACCATCCAAACAATTAAAAATACCCAAAGTAGAAAACTGTAATCATAGAATATCAGGGTTGGAAGGGACCTCAGGAGGTCATCTAGTCCAGCCCCCTGCTGAAAGCAGGACCAATCCCGAGACAGATTTTTGGCCCAGATCCCTATATGGCCCCATCAAGGATTGAACTCACAACCCCAGGTTTAGCAGGCCAATGCTCAAACCACTGAGAGACTTCAGTGCTGAATTGGCTTAGTCAAGATGACAGGGTGGAAGGAAGGACCCTTACAAACCTTTAGGGAAAAGAGTTACTAAAAGTTTATTGTTCGACAACATTGGGAGGCCACGGCTGTGGAGGAAGAGGCGAGATGCAGTACCATAGAGGGCTGCGAACATCAGCACAGAGGCCTTGATTTGGATTCTGTACTGAAAGGAATGCAAAGAAAGCAAGACACTGGGACAACGTGCTCATGGACAGTTGTTCAATTTGGAGATTTTGAGGGTGTAACTTCATTCCTATACTAGACTCCTTCCATTAACACTCCTTCCAACCCCCGTCCCCAAGTTCTGCTCACATTACTTATTCCTCTGCCCTATACTTGGGGTGCTGAACCCCCCACAGCTAGCTGGGCATTGGACTTTTGGGCACTTGAGAGAGTGTGTCAAGAAGGCTGCGCACTGACCCTTCCAAAATGCAGCTGTGGGGCCCCATTCAAATGGCTTTGTAAGGAGCTCTGAAATTGTCCTGCACTGACCCTGGTAGTTGGTGATTGCAGTCTTACATCAGTATTTACAACGAATTTGAATCTGAAATGGAGAAACAATGAAAGGCTGCTCCTTTCACTTCAGAGTTTAGAGCCCAACTTCTCTATCCAGATTATCTTTTGCCTGTGAATGATTTCTCAAAACAGTGAACGTTTCTGACCTTAACTTCACTGACTTCTGTCCAACCACTGCTGACCAATGCACACAGTTTTGTTTACTGGTAACTTTTAAAAGTGCATTTATTCAGCCTGGAGAGTACAAAGGTAACATGAAACAGAAAAAAGGCCAAGTGCCTGAAGTTCAATTATTGCAGTTACAATGGTACAGAAATAACAAAGTGCAGGCTGGATGACTAAAAGTTTAAAGAGTACATGGCATTTGTCTTGCACTATTTATTTTCAAGTAATTCCCAGATGTTCTATCTACATTTGATTGACTATCGTTATTTAGGCTTTTTTAAAAAAAATATTAGTCTATCAGCAACAACTTGCTTGTAGAAAAGAGTGGATCAATTGCTCATTAGTCACTGATCTGGATGATCTAAGTGGTATAGCTAGGAAAACAGTCAAAAGTCGTGTAGTTTTTCTCTTGTTAACTGTACAAACAGGGATGGCCATCTTTACTAAATAGACACCTGATCCACAGACAGAAAAAACTCAGACTTCCCCCCCTCAACTGGTTCAACTCATAGCTGTGTACAAGAGCTTCTTAGACAGAACAAGATGGTGTGTTATCTCCCCATTAACATTTGCTTTAGAAACAATCTGTGCAGCAGAAGAGGCATGAGCCTTAGATAACTGTTGGGATATATATTTTGGAGGGCACGTGGGGTGTATAGTTGAGGCTCTCTTTCCTCAGCACATTCCTCTTCCTCTCCATAGAGGATGCTGTTTGCTCTCTACATACCTGTTGCTATAGCAACACTCAACATGGGAACATGTCTTCCAATCATTGATTTTTCTACTTTGGCTGGCTGACGAAACTTTATGCCACTTCAATGGTCATGACTACTCTAGCTCCCCTCTTTAACCACTTGAATATGGATCTACATTCAAGAGCGATCTTTTCTGTTGAAAATTTCAGATTAAATCCAAACTCTCCCCAAAATAATGAGGAAAGCAATAAGATCACTACTAAAGGCCACCAAGATTATTGTTGCTCATTATTTGTATTATGGTACCATTTAAAGCCTCAACTTAAATTAGGGCCCCACTGTACTACATGCCAGATAGACACAGTGAGAGAGCGTTCCTGTGCCGAAGAGCTTACAAACTATATAGACAAGATGGACAAAGGATGAGAGGGGAAAGAGAAGCACAGGGAGGTGAAATGATCTGTCTGCACCACAAAGGCAGCCAGTGGCAAAGCTGGCCTAGAACCTCACCCTCCCAAGTCCCAGTCCAGTGCCCTGTCGACTGATGAAACTTCCACCACTTTAAGAAACCCAAACAAGCAGGGGAAAAGCAGCTGTCAGGAGAACTGTCTATTGATGAAACTTTTCAATGATTATTCCTATGAAGTACTATGTCCAATAGTGCTAAAGTCACAGAAGACACCAATTTATGTCCCTTGGAAGGCTTGCAAGCTAGTGTGGACAGGGATTGATTTTTTAAAAACAGCTTCTGAAAATTGCTTGAGTCTAGAGGCTCGGTTCAACCCTAATCAAGCAAGATGCACCCATCTGGGGCAAAGAGGAAAGAAATTTCCCTTCAGAAGACGGCAGAGTGTTTGCACTGCTGCCTTTCCC